TTATTTAAAATAAATGAAAAATATTATTGAACTAATAAATCTAATAATTACAGAGATATACATTTTCTTACCTATTGCATTAAATACAGAATACAACAGAGAATATAACAATTAATAATTGTTCAAAATTATTCAAAGTTACTGAGAATTATTTAAAATCCATCAAAAATATTGCTGAACTAATAAGTCTAATAATTACAGAGATATACATTTTCTTACCTATTGCATTAAATATAGAATACAACAGAGAATATAACAATTAATAATTGTTCAAAACTATTCAAAATTACTGAGAATTATTTAAAATGAATGAAAAATATTACTGAATTAATAAATCTAATAAATACAGAGATATACACTTTCGTACCTATTGCATTATACAGAATATAAGTTAACTTTAAAATAATTTAACAGAAAAATTGAACACAGAACATCAGAATTCAGACCCCAATTTATGAAATTTCCGTTCATTTTCCTCGCACTTCATCCTCACCAATAATCTACCCGACGTAATTTTGTCGCGTAATGGCAAGCATTCCGTTTCGATTCGAATCAACGACCCCATCTTAGAATATATCGTTCCACGTGAAAAAGGTTCACGTTTCTTTCGAGTAGCTCGTAGCACCGGACGTTAGATTGTCGGGAGAGATATCGTCTTTTGGCACGAAAAACCTTGGCCGTAAACGTTGTTCCTCGAGCCAGATCACGGCGATCCTAAGACGCAAGGAAGCCTGTTCGTGGCTAGTGTAAAAATTGTGTCATTCGACGAAAAAAGAAGAGAACGACGTTCATTCGGCTCGGATCGCCGCGAACTGGCAGTGATAGGTACTTAATAATGCGTTTACACGATATCGTTAACCTATGTGCCCATACACCCTCGTAACACGCTCTTCGTTCATTCTTCTCTCTCAATAAACATCTATACGTATGTATATTTATATTTATATTTGTATATATATATTTATATTCTTTATTTATATTTATATACGACGGGGTGAAAACCGTAGGGGTGTTTGTCTATAGTTTATATATTGACTGATCTATGTGGATGCAATTTGCTTATACACGTATGTACATACATATACATACATATGTATTATCACAAAATCATGTACGTTGTACGTTACAGTAAAAAATTCTTAAATACGACAAATTTAATAATTTTTGATAAATATTTTTAAGGAAATAGGACTGCTTTAATACGCATTTGATTCATTAATATTATGACAATTTTTTTCACATTAAAAATTCAACAATATTAAATTGTGACATGTGAAGAAATTTTGCCATCAATTTTACCATTAATTTTGGGCAAGAAAATTTTTTTCATAGACATAATTTCAAGTCAGACTTTTGATTCATATACAATTTTTGATTATGTTACTTTCATTTTTGATTTTTGATTACATTAATTTCTTTAATTTAAAATACCAGGAAATTTTTGATATTTTCTGTTGTTTTTATTATTGTACAAATTATGGATGTATATGTAAAAAATTGTATTCATTGTTAGAAACTTTAAATTTCATATAAATTTTGAAATTATTTTGTAATATTGATTGTAAGTTTGTGTTACAATAATTATCTTCAGTTACATAAAATTTTTGTCATTTTATTACCACAAGAACAGATATTGAAAGAAGTGTAAAGTAATTGGACAAACACCTCTACAACTTTGACCCCAGCATACATTTATCACACACGCAGTACTCACGCAATTATACACCATTGTCAGTTAAAAAACGTATTCGCGGCTCAGTAGTGGTGCATCTTGCGCAACGAATAAATCCATCCTCGCGAGATCCACAAAATAGTTTGCACCTGTTGGTGTACACAGTGATCCGTAATCAACTATAATCGACAATAAAAACGTGGTAATAATACTCAGAATAATGATAATAATAATAATAGTAGTGTCTTCACGGTCGACCCGCTCCATCTTGGCACCTCTTCGTCCACCATTTTTCAAGATAATCTCCCCGTTTCTTCTCGGTCGACGCGTCTTCTTTCGATACTTACATATACATAATGTGCGCGAGTGTACGTTAAAGGTGTTCAGTGTTTCGCGTGTGTCAGGGTCTCTCGTTCCCACAAGGAATTATGGCAGTTGAGTATCAGTTCGTTTCACGATTTGCACATGCACCCACCCCAGGACCATCGAATTCTACTATCGAATTTCGCGACCTGTTCTCGTCACCTGTTTCTATAAACCGTCTCGCTGTTCGTTCGATTACAACATATATATACAATGTACAAACACGGTCAATAGCGAAGACCCTTTCATGGTTACCCGCGAACCAGCCATGACCACATCTCAGCGTTTCTCGAACGGTTTCTCGGACTCTTCCGTAGACATGCATGTATGGACTCTTCATATATCTATACGATAGACACGTGTGGACGATGTCATATACACATATAGACTGAATATATGTCTACATTTTAGATGTCTGTATATCATAGACACACATGGACATATGTACTGTATGCCTGTAAGATGTGTACACATATGTGCTGTCTATTTGGATGTATCATAGATGTATGTACGCATAGTGTGTCCATACTACATATGCACATATAGACTGACTACATGTCTGCATCATAGATGTCTGTATATCATAGACATACATGGACATATGTGACTGTAAAGACGTATGTACGCATAGACTGCCTGTATGTCCATACTACATATGTACGTATAGACTGACTATATGTCTGTAGCATATGTACATTCATATATGTGGTTATACCAGAGACATATGTATATGTTTGCATATGTATACCATAGACATTCATACACATATGTACATGTGGACTGTCTATGTAATTATATCAGAGACACGTGTACATATGAACTGCATGCCCATACTGTATGAACATGTCCATACCATGACAATGCATATTATAGTAGACACACATAACCGTACGTATAAAAGTGTATATCTACCACAGACATGTGTACATATGTAATCTTCATATGTATAGCACAGATACACGTATGAACTGTATGTCATCATAGACATATGTGCATATGAACTGTCCGTGTGTCTACATCATAGACATATGTACGTCCTGAACATACATGCTTACGGACTATATGTGTTCCTTGTATTTGAATCGATCGTCCTGACAGGATTCTGGTAAATAATCGTTGCTCGATCTTCCACGATATGGCAGTACGCGTCGAGCGTGGAGGAACTTGAAGTAGAAAAACAACGAATCCTATGATGTATCGTGAGAACGATCGAATTCGCTTCCAGAGTTGGATATCGTTTGAATGATACTTGGCTGAGATCATATTATTTGTGAATAATGGAACGTTCCTTTTGACAGATAATATACTCTGTATCGGAGGGTAATTTTGACGTCATATATCATGGGAGGTGCTTGGAGAGGGGGTTTGAAAGGTTTCGAATTTTAATACTGGGATTTTCGAATTTAATTAGTTAGAGTCTTCAAAATTTTCAAGGATGATGGAATTCTGGAATGTGGACATCATGGAAGTTTTTAATTTGGAGACGTTTGAACGTTAAGAATGTTCTCAAACACATTTAGAAAGATACCCAACTCCCACAAGAGAACCACATCCGAAATGATCGAGAGATCAAGTGTCGCGAACATTCGACTATCGGCAAACGCGGAAGGGTTGCGGGTGAAGGTTAGGATCGTCGCTCGTCACCGTAAAGAACAATCCTGACGACCATCAGTCGTTAATATCGACACGTTAGATGATGTACTCGGGTTTGTAGTCGCCGATACGACCGCTCCAGACACGAGGCGATGCCGGTGTCCAGGGCACCGCGATGTCTAGCAACGTGATGCTGGGTCTACGCTGGAACGGCGAGAACCTCGTCTTCTTCGGACTCTTTGGCGGCGATTCCGCGATGTATACCATAGACATTCATACACATATGTACATGTGGACTGTCTATGTAATTATATCAGAGACACGTGTACATATGAACTGCATGCCCATACTGTATGAACATGTCCATACCATGACAATGCATATTATAGTAGACACACATAACCGTACGTATAAAAGTGTATATCTACCACAGACATGTGTACATATGTAATCTTCATATGTATAGCACAGATACACGTATGAACTGTATGTCATCATAGACATATGTGCATATGAACTGTCCGTGTGTCTACATCATAGACATATGTACGTCCTGAACATACATGCTTACGGACTATATGTGTTCCTTGTATTTGAATCGATCGTCCTGACAGGATTCTGGTAAATAATCGTTGCTCGATCTTCCACGATATGGCAGTACGCGTCGAGCGTGGAGGAACTTGAAGTAGAAAAACAACGAATCCTATGATGTATCGTGAGAACGATCGAATTCGCTTCCAGAGTTGGATATCGTTTGAATGATACTTGGCTGAGATCATATTATTTGTGAATAATGGAACGTTCCTTTTGACAGATAATATACTCTGTATCGGAGGGTAATTTTGACGTCATATATCATGGGAGGTGCTTGGAGAGGGGGTTTGAAAGGTTTCGAATTTTAATACTGGGATTTTCGAATTTAATTAGTTAGAGTCTTCAAAATTTTCAAGGATGATGGAATTCTGGAATGTGGACATCATGGAAGTTTTTAATTTGGAGACGTTTGAACGTTAAGAATGTTCTCAAACACATTTAGAAAGATACCCAACTCCCACAAGAGAACCACATCCGAAATGATCGAGAGATCAAGTGTCGCGAACATTCGACTATCGGCAAACGCGGAAGGGTTGCGGGTGAAGGTTAGGATCGTCGCTCGTCACCGTAAAGAACAATCCTGACGACCATCAGTCGTTAATATCGACACGTTAGATGATGTACTCGGGTTTGTAGTCGCCGATACGACCGCTCCAGACACGAGGCGATGCCGGTGTCCAGGGCACCGCGATGTCTAGCAACGTGATGCTGGGTCTACGCTGGAACGGCGAGAACCTCGTCTTCTTCGGACTCTTTGGCGGCGATTCCGCGAAGGTGACACTTCTTCGAGCCGGTCTTCTGGGCGGTGGTGGCGGTGGTGGAGGTAGAACCGCCAGCACAGGTGGCGGCGGTGGTGTGGGCAAGGAGATGGCGGGCGACTCACTCGGGCTCTCCAGGTAACTTACACCTGGGTATGCGTATTGCTGTGTACCTGGTCGCCCTCGGTATTGCCAATCGCGTTTGCCGGAGCGTAGTACTGCAAAATTCCATGAACATGTTACACTGATGCATTTATAGTGACAATAGATGAGTCATGGGAGATTTGCACGCTTGATGTCATCTGAAAGCATTCTTAGCTTCGTACAGGTCTTCGTAACTGAGCGCGACGCGGAACCAAAGTGAACGGTTATGGTGGACGGTCGCGGATTTCGGTTTTATTGAACTGTTGATGAAAATGAAATGTTACATGATGTAGCTACAGCTCAGAATCTTCATTTGTGTATTGTATTTTTGTTATACAACATTTTGTTATACAAGCTTGTTACTGACTAACTTTGTAAGCTGCGTTTGTATTAATAAGAGTGATGTTTATGCATGATGAAGTTTATGTATTTATCGAGGTGTAAATGTAGATAAATCATGTAATCTGAGACTATGGATTCAATATGTTTACTTTGCAGACTTTGCATAAATGTTTGTTTATTAATCAGTATGATGTCAGACATCTTGTTTTACAAGAGTCATGTTTTACTGGAATCTTCAGACTGATTGTCCAGAATTGTAGAAGCGACTATAATAAAAGGATTGACTCGAAGACCATTTTTAGTATAATTATGAGAACTTTAGTATGTATCCACTGTTAGTAGTATTAGTAGAATACAGTAACTTCTTATTTCATTATTGTAATTAGTAGAATAATGTCATACTAGTCACAATAATGAGATTATGCTTTGATCTGAAAGACAGCGTGAAAGTTTCTTCCAAATGACATCAAGCGTGGAAGTCACTATACAGAGCGTTTCATAACATGTGGACCCACTTAAAAGAAGTAGACGCATATGTTGCAGTCTGATACAATAATGTAGCTTGATACAAAAATGATACAATAATGTAATGATCAATAAATGAATGAAGTATTATAAAATGTCTCCTACAAGCCAAAGAACCTAACGAAACAGAAAATTCTTATTTATCATTTATCAATATCAAAATACAAATCCCAGTTAAAAATAATCACATCAATCATTTTCTACGAAGACACCTGTCGTTCCAATAATCAGTGATTATTAATATGTGACACTAATTAAAATATGAAATTAATTACTAAATCACAAGTCCATAACTGCAATAATTTCGTGTCATTTACATGAACCTCTTTCATTATTTTTGTGCTTCTTGTCAGCAAGATGGGTTGCAGTTTCGGTTTTAAGATGGTTGCACATGTTATGAATCAGCCTGTATCGGCGCGCGATTCCTGGTGATTGATGGTTGAACTGCGGATGTTTATGACAGCTTGTACCTTCAAACGTAGGGGTAAAACAAGAGAGAGAAAAAGTAGATTGTGGTTGTAAAGATCGATTTTATGGCCGATGGATAGAGGGTCGACGAGATGGTTATTTTTGACGAGAATGTTGCTAGGTTGTCTGAGAATGAGACAGGGGAAATAGAGATTGATAAATCGTTTCTGGTGCAGAAGCCAATAGGGGTCAAAATAAGTTCCGGGGATCTTCTGCCATGTTTTCGTTATTGCTATATACAGGTTGGTTCAGTATTGGTGATCCAAAAGCTGATATTTTAAAAGACTTATTGAACTTTTTCATATAAGATACCTCAGAGAAAATTTTGTAGTGTGTTGTGAAGTTTATGACATTTGAAATTTGTTCAAATGATTGACTTAAAGTTTGAATTAAAATGGAAGTTTTTTAAATTAATTTGGTCATTTGGTACAGACAAGGGATTCCTCCTCCTATATGGCCATTTTGTATTGCATATGTTGTACAGTTTACATATTTTGCTTAAACATCCACAGTCAAAGTAACGATTCAAATAAATTCGTGTGAAGAATTTGTAAAAACATGTGAACAGTAGGAATGAATTAGAGTGGTAGTTTATTATGTGAACGTGATAAAACTGTAATTGTGCTATGAATTGCAGTGTTTTCAGTTTCGTGATGAGTGCGATGAGTGTTCTTTGTCGTCGTTCTACCATCCTGCATTTTCTGCAATATAGAGGAAAGTTGTCTGATATGGGGAGGCTACTGAATTTGGGGAGATAAAATATCTGTCTCTAGTTAGATGTGCGAGCAAATTTGTTTAAACAGACTTTTAGAAAACTTTTTACATGTTGTAGTAATAATTGTATTCAGTAATTTAGTAATTCTGTAAATAATAATTATGATTTATACAGGGTGTCCCACAACTAGTGAAATGATTCTGTTTTTGTTATTAGTAATTGATAAAAATATCAAAATAGTATAGTTAATTAGCAAATAATAATATATATGATTATACAGAGTGTCTCACAACTAGTATAGGTCCCTGAAATGAGGAGTAGTTGACGTGATTCTGAATAAGATTTCCCCTTACAAAAATGGGGTTTGAAACTTCGTTTCTGAATTATTAAGGAAAAACGCGGACCAATCAGAGCGCGAGGATTACGCGTGCGCAGACGCGAGAACGGCAGCTTCGGATAACGCGTAGTTATCCAACGCGTGGTAATCCAACGCGTAGTAATGCAACGTGTGGTAATGCAACGCGTGGTAATCCTACGCGTAGTAATCCAATGCGTAGTAATCCAACGCGTACTAATACAGCGTGTGGATATCCAACGCGTAGTAATCTAGCGCGTGCATATTCTACGCGTAGTAATCTAACGCGTAATAATGCAACGCGTGGTAATTCTTAACGTAGGAATCTAATGCGTGGTAATCTAACGCGTAGTAATCCAGCATGTGGATATCCTACGCGTAGTAATCCAACGCGTGG